GAAGCAGTTCCCGTTCCTGAAGAATTAATTTCTCCTTACCAGCTAACTGTTAACAAATTTGACATGCCTGGCAAAGAACTGCCTCCTGTGTGGCTGGAGAACAAGCCCAAAGGGTTCAGATTACAGTTTTGCTCAGCGTAAGACTTTGGGACAGTTTGTTTTATGTGATAACATTTTTAACTTGGAGACTATATCCTGATGACCTGTTGACTGCAGCTTAACTACAGTTTAAATTATGAAAGTTGTGTTCATGCAATAGCCTTTATCTGAAAGCTTACTTATGCAACAACTTCTACTTGGAAGTTTATGGGCAGTTTCTGTACATAATAAACGCATGGATAGGACATAGGAGTCATTTCAGCTGCTACTGAAATATGGTTGCTACAGAAAATGGAACATAGCGGTTTTCTGAACTCTTGGGACAGCAATACTGTGTCACTGATGCTTATTGGACTTAGCATTGAAATAGTATTGAAATTGAATTAGTATTGAAATATTCAACATACACATTGTCCAGCATACATATATGTTAGCAGCATTGCCATCTTGAAAAGCAATGAAGGATTTTTGATAACCAATGGTAGCCATGGCTTCAATTTCATGCCTCATTTTGAAGGAAAGTGGGACACCCATGCAACATTTAGACAAAAGGACTAGTCCTGCACGCCGAGCCACCAATGGCTCTTTTTCCAGTGCTAGTTTGTGGGATGTAACCAAGTACTTATGATTCTGTACAACCAAATCTATAGTCAAACTATGTCGTTTGAAAAATCTGGCAGGATTAGGGTATATAGCTGCAAACCCTGATGAAAGGTGGCTTGGCTGAGGACCGTATCTCAGGAAATCTTCATTCTTTACCTGTTTCCAACAGAAACTCCCACTGGGAACTTGGATAGGTCATTTTATTCATGCTTTACTTGCCTGCTTGTAAAATGCCATAATACTTTCCAGAAATACTGTGAGGATAATGACTATGAAAGAAGGATTTTAAAAAATGCAATCTATTTCTACAAAATATTTCAAATGAGTTAATTTTTAATTAACTTTTAGTTCCAGTTCTGTGCATACATTTTTTTCCATTTTTACTAGAATTTTATTTTTGAGTACTGTTTTATTTCCCTACTCCTTCCTTTTCCTTTTTCTTTTCCCCATTTCTCAGTTTTTGAAAATTTAACTTTTTCAGAATTTTCACTTCTTACAGAATTTAACTTTTTTTTTCTTTTTTTGTGAAAGAAATATACACTGTGCTCAGTTACACATACAGTGTGCTCAAATACTAAAGTAGTAAGTGCTAGAAGGAAAGAGAGGACAAACAATACCTACCGTTTCACAGTATAAGGATGCAAATGGGGGCAACCCACATTTACACCAAGGTCCCATTTTTTGATGCAACAGCTAACGGAAACTGGCTAATTGGAAACTGAATACAGGAAATTACTAACAAATTTATACATTAAAGGCTTATAAATCTATTCCACTACTCTGCCAGGAACAGCCAATCCAGGTTTATTTTCTCATATTTTCTTAAGAAGCTAAAGGTCTTAAGGTAATTTTTCCTGCTGTGAGCAATCTGACAGAACCTTTGCTGTCACATATATTATTAAACCCCATTATCCTAATCCTTTTTGCTTTTCTTGCTTGCTGTTTCTTCCAAGGAAATACATGAAACAAATTTACTATTTTTACTTTGAATAACAGTACATGCCGTATAATTTAAAAGAAAGTTTATTTTTACTTATGTAAAAATTAAGTAGGATCCCATTGACATGAAGTGCTTTCATTAAGAACTTATCTTTGTTTCTTATCCTTTATTTGACTTTTTTCCCTCCAGGCGAACAACTTTCCCCTCATTCTTCTGACATTCTTTTTCACATAAGTATCTGATGGGGAAACTTGTCAAATGATCTTAGAAAATTCAGACACACTGTGTTTATTGCACCCTTATTGGCTTTCCAGCAGAATACTTACTTACAAAAATACTAACAAAGCATGTCATAGATTTATCTGTGTTTTTTCATTGTATCTTATTTTAACAACTGCTTAATCTTTAAATGCTTACTGCTCCTTAGTAATGTGGAACAATTTACATGAAAATCAGTTACTATAAAACATTCACACTTAGTAGACAAAATTATTTTCACTGATAACTGCTCATAAAGATTTGTCTCTCTGGCATGACTTGACACTCAGCTCTGTAATACCAACCCTAAGTAACAAAATAAGGTGTTGTAACCCTAATTTAAATAGTCCTGGTTATGCAGAAGCTTAAAGGTCTTTTATTTCATGACACTAACTGAACAAGAATTCCTCTCTGTAAGCTACCCAAAGAACTTTGGACATGGTGTCAACACAAAGGAAGGTGCAAGCACAGTCTTGTTAGGATACCATGACACGTTAAGCTATCACCAGCCTCTGGTGAGCTTAGCAGAGTGGCTCATTATTAAGGTATTCTAGTGAGTGGTCTTGTTGCTTTACTGGGCAGCATTTTTCACTGCTGCATAAAGACTGAACACACGGCTGCCAGCTGTTCTGCAGCAAAATTTTCTAATACAGGTATTTTTATGAATGAAAATTAAAACACACTCTGTTTTATAGCTAATAAAACACTTAGTAATCCTTCAAAATTACATACTCTGGAGAAAAACCAAACCCTGTGAATTCTACAATACATGATCCCCTATCTATTTCATATGCTACAGTTAACACACTAAATTATTAGAAACATATTTACCTTAGTATATTTGCAGTAGCTTTCCTTTCTTGTGGCAGAAGGTCAGGGTCTCTCAAAACTTCTTCCAGCAAATTTAACACATTCATTTTCAGCTCGTTGTTCAGCTCAAAATCCTACAAAGGAAAACAATTTTACTTCCTTTTGTTTTAACTATGTTGATTAAATAATTGAAAGGATATACTTTTGTGAGTTTTGCCTTTTTTTTTTTTTTTTTTTTTTTGCTATTAGGTTTGAAAATATTTAGAAAATTTGGAAAGCTGTTGTAACTGTTGAACAGGCTACAAAAGTGGGAGCCCGAAAGGCTGTAATTTATTCTCCTTTTCTGACCTTTATCTTCTGTGTGGAAATGGGCAGATCACTTAACCTTTCTCTTCTGAAGTAAGAACCACGTCTCACCAATACCCATAAAATGCCTTATCCTCTCTTCTCCTGTGATGACTATAAAAGTGGAAAAACACTTTAATTGCAATACCGAGACCACGGCCTAGCGAGGCTGGACATGGGGGTTTTTTCACTGTTTTCTCAAGTTTCTCTGTTTATCTGCCTCCCACCCTGGTATTTCTTATCTCATACTCACCCTTTTGGAAAGGTCTGCTTTTCTGTTCCACACAGTGGAGTACTCAACCTAATAAGCTCGATAAATCAGACTAGATCTCTGGCACTGCACATAAAAGCTTCAGCATTTTAATTATTTCTGAGGCAGACTGATATCTGACACAGGAAAACCCAACAACCATTTCTGTTGATCTCTGATATTGGAGAAAGCCAAAGAATAGAACAACATATGAACTTTAAGATGGGAACTTACAGGAGTAGACTGCAAAAATGCTTTTGTTGAGCTCAAAGCTAGCATTTCTGTAAGAAAACTAAACCCAAAACCTTCAGTCATCTAGTGCATCATAGAACTTCCTTGATAACCCACAGTTACTTGCATGCAAGACCATGTTTGTGGCAAGCCCCTGCTTGTTTCCATGGGAACGAAGCCACAAAGTTATCGAAACTGGGAAATGTTACTTTTCCCAAAGAATCAGCTACAACCCTTTCTGTTGCGACAGGCTCCTAAACTGGCATGATTTCTGGAGATAGGTGTCTCAAGAACCGCCCCTGGTGAAGACACATGTCCTCACACCATGTGTTTCACTTGAGGGGATGCGGGAGCATCAGAGAGCACCCAAAGTCACAAAGGAAGGTGATGCTTAGTTTGGAAAAGGGATGAAATACTTAAGACAAGGAGGGGGATGCATGGTCATTAAAGAAGGTGGTGTCACAGCCACGCTTGTAGCACTTTTTGAGAAAGTTTATTGCTCAAAGCATTAGGGCTCAGAAATACACTGCTGTCACCCGCCAGCAATGCCTTGGGTATTTCCCTCCTGTTACAAGCATCCCTTTTTACCCTTCAAAAGTCTTCTCAACTTGGCCAGAGCTAACTCATATTTTGAAACCAACTAGGATCTGTGTCTTAGTTTTTTGTGATGCTTGTCCTTATTTAGAGGATGTTGGAGAACAGGAAGCCGTGCAGTATTGGGTTACATATGCCTCAAAAACTAGCAAAAAAATAGTTCCGGGTACTGCATTTTGTTTTATAAAATAAGTTTTCTGTAGCCGTTGTCCAAAATGCCTCCTTTAGGAACTGTTTTAGCCTGTTTGCAAAAAAAAGACAGAGATTTTTATTTTTTTATTTAGGGTACGGAAACGTGACTAACCAGTGAAAGCACGAGGAATGTAACTAAACTACACGGAAGTACTGTTCGCTCCAGTGATTTTTAAAAGAAAACCATTTGGAACATGAAACTATCAAAATTTAGCTAAAGGAGAAACCTTGAATCTGCACAAGCTTAAGCAACCAGCGTAATTAATAATAGTATTGTCTGTCCTATAGTTTGATGGTGGCGACTCTATAAAAGAAGCTGGGTATCTTTGCTAGTCATGCTACAAAAATATCATCAATGAACAGAGAAGGTATCCAAGAGCTGACAAACCTAACATCCTCATTTAGCATGTTGGGTAGAATTCTCACCAGCCACTGTAAATGGGCAGATCTCAACAACGTGATCAGGATTTTATCTCCAAGTATGTTTTCAAATCATAATTGGTTGATTATTTTCATTACAGGATATTTTTTCTCAATAAGTCTTGCTTTATTGCAACTAAATTTATCACAAAAAAAAGGCTATATTTTAAAAGTTATTTAATTTGTGAATCAGGATGGGGAAGCCTCACCTATGAATATTAGACTCAGCAAAACCAAAGCACTTTCAGTTTTGCATGTTTACAAGCTTTACAGTTCTTATAAGTAATGAGAATTATTACATTGTATGTTAACAGCAAAACATGTTTGTTGAGTTATCTCCACAAGACAGTAGTCCTGGAATCGCTGGAAAAACTCATACAAGCTATATGAACACTTAGTTCCTAGGGTTAGGGCTATCTTCCACTTCAATCACACCGGCTTTAGAAGAAACTTCATGGTGGAAAAATCCACTTTAACCTCAGAAAAATGAGAAGTCCTAGACCCTTTATCAGCATAGCCAGCCCAAACTATGGTGGATGATAGGGACTGATAGGGATTACAGACAGAGGATGCATCGGTTTGTGTGATTCCTTCAGTCCCAGCTGCTGTCACACCCGTACGCCAGCCTCACCACCACTAGAAGATGTCACTTCACAGCACAGCCTTCCCACAGGACAGACCTGGCCCTATGTCCATGCAATTTCTGCAGCAGTGGTCTTACTGCCCAAAATCTCTTTTTTGTGCCTGGAGGTATTCTTTTTTATAGCAATGTGCCAGCTGCTGCTTACAATGTGAGGAGAAAAAAGATGAAAAAAGGTGGGTTTCAGAAGAAAACTGGAGAGCTAATCTATTTTTCCATTGAAGTTCATGATCTGGGGGGTACTGAGATTCCAGTGTGATGAGCAATATATAAAAAATCTAGGGAAATCATTCCACTTAAACATGTGCATATACTTAACTCTATGTAGAAAGGTTAACATGAGAATTATACAAACACCAAAATATGAGAATTATACATGAGAATTATACAAACACCAAAATACTTAGCAACCAAAATTATATCTATCTGTATTGTGGGCATTATTTATGAATATATATTAAT